GAGGAGTGGCATTACGAGTGTAAGACTTTACACGTGGTGGATACTGTGTGTGATTGCTAACTGCACGATAACGTTTATCCGCGCAGGGAAATGGGAGAATAAAGATGGATCGATAATTACTCTGTGTAACTAGCCCATCTACAGTGTACCGTGTACACTAAGACAGCGCGGCGACAACGGTGTTTTTGTAGCTTTACTCACACAACAAATAACAAGAAAGGTTCGATTATGTTAAACTCACATCCAAAGCAAAACTTGAGAAAAACACTACTGACTTCACAACTGAGAAAAGCATTAGACTTATAAGAGAAAATCCACGATTCTACACACAGGATAAAATGGAAAGTCATAAAATGCCAACACTTGCACAAACACACCCAGTGTTACGTTATAAACTCCACTAGCGTTATGTGCTGCCCCTGGCACTGTACGTAGCTAAGTTTAACGCAGAAATCCCGACATGGATTTTGAGACTTTATTTACGAAACACAACTCAAATGACTGCTAGATGACTTCTAGTGGACTAAACCAGAGTGGACCATCTAGCATTGGCAAGCTTGGCGCTTATATAGCCACATTCGGATAAACATCCACATTAAGAAACTTCTGGAAACTTTCAAAGCCTTAGATTACTCAATAACAACATTTAATGTGACCAGCCACACAGCCCCATGTGAGCTATATTAAGATACAGCCTGGCGTAAACAAGATCATTAGCCACAAAGAGAACTGAGAGAATTTCATTTAGTTCTATATTTGGGCATAAGTTGATAAGGCCTGAATTGACAGATTTCCAGTCTTCTCTGTATCTCTTGTTATGTCGTTTTAATGTTGTTATTGAGTAATCTAAGGCTTTGAAAGTTTCCAGAAGTTTCTTAATGTGGATGTTTATCCGAATGTGGCTATATAAGCGCCAAGCTTGCCAATGCTAGATGGTCCACTCTGGTTTAGTCCACTAGAAGTCATCTAGCAGTCATTTGAGTTGTGTTTCGTAAATAAAGTCTCAAAATCCATGTCGGGATTTCTGCGTTAAACTTAGCTACGTACAGTGCCAGGGGCAGCACATAACGCTAGTGGAGTTTATAACGTAACACCAGTTTCCATTAAGACGGTAGTAACTCATGTACAGAGTACATATACAACATGCACACTAAGTGACGGTTAATGACACAGTTCTCACATCGGCACTTAGGCCCTAATTAGATAAGGGAATATGCATGCGGATATGCGGATATGTGGGATAGCGCCCTTGAAGACGTATTCGATGTGGTGCACATATGTAATCGGTATCGATCCACTTCCGGGTATTATGTGGACACATATGTACTGTATGTATACAAGTACACGTGCACAGAGAAGCGTGGCGTTACACGAGAAACTGACCGTGTCGAACTACAGACCCCATCAGGTTTATGCACCAGAAGATGTTTCTCTGTTTGTTAGTTTTGCTTTTTTTGCACACCACACCGGTAAATGCCAGCCGGACCAGCCCGGTGTCACAACTCTAGCGTTGGACGCCATCAAAATTTTGCAGGTGGGCAGGAGCTACATTTCTTAATGATGTGCTGCTGAATGTGGTGCTGTTGGATTGCTGTTTCTGACTCTATGCTTAATAGTTATTAAAAACTTCGATTTTAATTGGATTACTTTCTTTTACAGTAAATAACTGAACAAAGTCAACCACCACACGCACCAGCACAGCACTTTCGACGACCATCAGTCCGGTAAAGTCTACCGTGACTCAACCTACAACTTCCTTAAACAATGAAACCGCTGCACCAACTGAACCAATGTCAATAGGTACATGATCGACGGTTCCTTACTGCATACCTACATCAAACGAAACTCTGCGCAATATCTATCCAATATCGTGTGTCCCTAAAGAAGACCAGCCGTTTGTTATAATTACTGTATAGGTCTGCATTTTAAAAGATTGACTACTAAGCGTTGTCCAATCAAACAACTGGTTTAGTGATGTTACTGATGTACGATAATTTTTCATTTTACACAGCGTTTTCGACGTTTCAGAAGCTTCCACCACATTCGCTTCCGTCTCTGTGGAGCTGCAGAAAGTCACAAATAAGGACAGGTATCCGGACAACACCACCTACTACACGCAGTCGACACATAAAGTGCTCGCCGTCATTCAGAATGCAGTGAAACACTGCTCGCTCCAGCTGACTTTCAGTGACATTCTGACGATCGCCAACTTTTTCCAAGAGTTCAAAGGTGCAGAAACACCACCAGATCTACAAAACGGTGTACAAGGAGAAGCAGTCGACGCACTGCTGAAGATTATCGACCAAATCCTGATCGCGGAAGAGATTGGAAAACTGGAAGCACCGGCAGCCAGCAACGACGGGTACGATGCGGCAGCGACCATCTATCAAGTACTAGAAGATATATACAACAATTTGCCACCGAGCGACGAACCATACACGTTCAACAGCTCGCTTGCCGTGGCGCATGTCCATGCAGTGCTAATCAACGGTTCATCCCGGTTTGAAGATTTTAATTTCACGACAAAGATGGAAGTCAATGGGTGCAATCGAGAAACGGGAATCGCGGCTCTCGCGGATGGCAAGTCCGCATCCGTGGCCAGTATTGAGTTGAACTTCAAGCGCTGCAAGAAGCCTTTGAAGAACTTCGTAAGTTGTTGCAGTCTTCTTCGGGCGATTTTATGGTTACTCCACCATGTAGTTTGACGGGAGGCTCTGCAGCTTGTTCCTTTTCTAGCTAACCTTTTTATCGAACTAGTTTAATGCGCTCGATGATTATGTAAACAGTTCGAAACTTTTAACAGGACAAACAGCACACGCAGCACCAGTAAAATTTTCCTTTTCGCTGTCGGCGATGCAGGCATTCAAATTTGCCAAGTTTATTCCCACGAATGAACTACGCGAAAGGGCAAGTCCGATAGTTTTACTCGCATCATTGGGCTTCGGATTTAAGAGGAAGGATATAATCACCATCCGGCACAATGTGGACATTCTTTTTGAAGTAGGCAGTAAAGGCAATTACTATACATGTGCTAGTACACGGACTTTAAGATGTCCACTCTGCAACGCTTTCAGTATCCATCCGGAGCAAGGAGGCAGCACCAGTGTACCTTCCTGAACTATACATCGAAGCAGTGGGCTTCAGACGGTTGCCGAATGACTGCTAAACATGCCAAATGGGGCAGCACAATCGTGGAATGCACCTGCGACCATTAGCACCGTTTTCACTTCTGCTGACGTTGTGTGGCAGTTTATCGAGATCCTTCGTTCCCAAGGATAAACCGCTCATTTTGGATTTGACCGTTGTAACGGCAGCAACGACTATCGTGGCGGCAGCATGTTGCCTCTTTGCTGTGTTTATCATAGTGTGGGTAGCAATGCTTTCTTGTTCCTCTTATTACACATTTTCAGAGCACTTTTGGAAATGCTGTAAAAATTTTGTAGGGTCAGAATTTTGCGGCGTAGTGTTATTTGCGACGAGGTGGTATTTACTCGGATGGGTTTATGGATAGCTCTTCTAGGAATGTATGTCTTCACCCTTTTCTCACAGTTAATCGTCCACGCTCCTGATTTATGCGGACAAAACTTTTGCTTGGCAAGTGGCATTTTGGTGCACTGGTTTGTGCTGATGAGCGTGGGATGGACAGCGGTTCAAACAGTTCAACTTATTCAAGTCATATTGTTTCCTGAACAGTACGCAAGACGACAGCACCTCCCAGGAGATACGTACCACAGATTTAGAGTGAAGACGTGGTTAATCGCGACACGTAAGTGGTTTTACTTTGGTCTTCTATTAACCTATAAGGTTTGGCCGAAAAAAGCCCTTCGATAGAGCTCTTCTTTATTTTGCTATAGTTGTTCCCAGCGTGTTTCCGCTTCTTGCCTCCATGCCACATTTTTCTGAGACGTTAACTACATCGCTTGGTGGCTACGGTTATGCAGACCATGAGAGATGGTAATGAAATCCCTGACCGTATTTTGCATAGAAGTATTCAAAACACCACAATGATTTTACTACAAGTAGGTGTTGGCTGGACGGCGATCATCGGTGGTTTCCTTGGGTGACTTTCATTGTACCGCTCTCGGCGGCCGGCGTACTGAACACTGTTGCGGTATTAATGTACATTTACAGTAAGCCAAGCCAGATTATTATACTGGGGCCAATCACAGACTTTTTTAATATCTGAAGACCTTTTTCTATAAATTAAGATTTTGTTCGCCTCTACTGTTGTCTGTTATTAGCAATGAGGAAGCGTCGGAAAGGGCTTTCTGTCGGTGAGAGTGATAAAGGGAAAGATGCCAAGTCTGTCAAGCACAGGCTTTACGGTATGATTATTAATACCGGTTTGATGGGGTTGATCTGGTTGAGCGTGTGGCTGGCGCTCTTCTCGTGCTTCATTGACCCAACGTTGCAGTATGTCTTCGTTTTATTGCTGACTGTCGCGTGTGGATCGCAAGCGGTGTACATTATCGTCTTCCAAGGGATCATTTCGGGCCGGAGTTCCAAGGGCACCAGCAGCAAGAGAAACAACAGTCGGACGTATGCCACAGCGCGGATATAATTTCCGGCCACACAACAGAATTGCCACTTGCAGTTTGTCATAGCGAGCCAGTGAGCTTATGAGCTGACCCCTTATTTTCTACTATCGCTTTTTTTTGAGCACGTAACACTCCGCAAAAGTACCAATACGCCGCAAAACTCGTTTCTGCATTCCTCTGATCTTCAGAATCATAATTGTAGGCGTCCGCCCTAGTAAATGTAATTTTTTAGTAATCATTCGTTTGTTTCATGACCTTAAAACTCCAGATTTCACCGGAATCGAATTAAAAAAAGCGAAAAAAAGTAGCCGCAACAATTCGTTGTCCTGTTTATGTATTTGCTGTTCGCAACAATAAAGGGTACATCGGGTACTTTTTAAACTGAAGCTTTCATCATGCATACTCCGTGCAAACGTTTAGCACATAAAACAGGTATCAGATGTTAAGAAACCGTTTCCAGGAAACAAAGAAAAGAACTTCTGATACATAACTTGGAATAGCCGGACACAAAGCTACGTCGAACTATAAGTTTTTGCTGAGTGATGACAACTGCGTTAGGAACCCAGCGAAAATAATTCGGCATTTTAAATCTACCGATACCGCCCGGAATTGTAAGCTGGTGGACAGTGCAGTATCCGGGTCCGACGCCGAGAACTGCAGCGCTCCTCGTTGACAGCTGACGGTGGTGAACGAGTGCGGTGGTTGGTGAGGAACCGTCCTCGCAGCCTGTTCCAGTAGCCATGCATGCAAGTTGCGCAAATGTGTTCGGCACAGGTACGTGTTGTCACCATCAAACACGGCGTCGCTGGCCTCGCTCAAATCAGGTTGCACTGCGGGCATAGTAACCGTGCCGTTACTGCAACGCGCGATAACGGCGGGAGCGAATTCGCACTGCTCCGATCCGGGCGGGGCGTTGCTGGACTGCGGTGGAAATGACGTTGTGAACGGTTGACTGGGCGATGCTGTGGCTTCGTAAGATTGGGAAGTGCTTGCAGCTGTTGAAGTCGGAGTGGTCGGGAGGCAGAAAGCCGAGCCGTAAGGAACGCTTACCGCTCTAAGGAGATTTTGCTTCGATATGAAAACACTTAGCATGCTGTGAAACGATATGACTACCAATATATGACATTCATCACCATAATTTACCGTTCTCAATTTGAATGGTGTCCAGAGCAATGGTTTTTAGGCTCAGCTCACAGCCGTCATTGTGGTATGCTAGGAAGTTAACGGTGAATTGTTCGCCTCTGTCGCGGCCGAAAATCGCTTGGCCAAAGTGCCACTGATTAGGACTGACGCCGGTATAGTCATCTGCTTTGCCCCATATTTGATCATTAGGAAAGGCTTGTCCATTGTCTTCCACGAAAACCTTCAGGACGAATTCGTCCCGTAGATTAGCTGGATTAATTACGGGGTAATCGGAAAGTCGATACCAAAACTTGACACGGTAAACGATACAGGCGGTGGAGACGATGATTGGTCCACGCAGGACAGCCACGGCTTCATCTCGGTCGGGTGGTAACCCGGTCGACCTCCTGGTGCAACGTGACACGGCAATTATGTCCCCTAAAAATGGAACAACGAATTCTGTGTGGTGTACTTGTTTGTCGTTACCATAAAATTTCTCTTCTGAGACTTTTGTGTTCGTAATTTAGGATCTCTTACTCACCAGCACCGGTGTTGTTTTTGAGCAAATCAAACTGATATGGGAAGTATCTATAGCCGCGGTACCAAGTAATAGCTGGAGGAGCAGAGCACGCCAAAATACCGGTGACAGAGTTATCTGCTTGAGCTACCGTCCCCATGTCGCATGACCTTATGGTTATCCATCCATAGCACGGCCACGGAAGTGGACAATTGCTGATGGGTATCAGGTTGCTCGTGCTGTTGTCAAAAGTAATCGTTGCTTCGGTACTCGGAGTAGTATCTGGTAAGAAAACGGGAGTCTCGGTGGTTTCATTGGTTGGGAAAACCGTTGTAGTGGTACACTCGATCGGCACTGGAAAACAAAAATTTAAACCTTTCTAAGTTAGTCAAGTCGAAATCTCAAGCCTAAAAAATTTTACTCGCTATTCTCGTTTCTATGCCGTCCAAATCGATCCATGTCGTATTGCAAGTGTCACCGTGGTGCGCATAAAAGTTCAGAGTGAACTGGTCGTCTGTAGCGTATTCCGCTTGGACCCTTGTCCACACATTGTGACCAGGAAAGGCCGTGTAATCGCTGATGCTGCCCCAAATTTGCCAGTTCGGGATGAATCCAGGCGCATTGTCCGCAGAATGGTGCACTACCAACTCCAGAAAGTAATCCTTGTCGCGGGCACCCGTGAGTATCGGCGCAGATGACATCCGGTACCAGAACGTTGTCTGCAGTTTGATGCAGCCGTTCGGTCGAAATGCAGCCGATCTCATGGTGGCCGATTTTCTGTCTGGGTACGCGGAACTTGGGGCAGCTTTGACGTAGCATTTAGATTGTGCAAATTGGGCGTATATCTTTTCTCCCGAATCGAAACCCATTTCGTTTGGAAGGATCTCGAACCGGTACGGATACAGCGAAAACGCCCGGAGCCAGCCGCGACAAGGATCCAGCAGTGCGTTGGGACTGGTCTGTTGGACACTGTCAATGTCACAGCTTAATGTATCGCTACCGGGAGGCAGTGACGTCCACTGATAACACTGTTCCGGATAGTCACAGCTACTCCTGGTTTGTAATGGAGGTTCTTGTTGTGCAGGTGCTAAGTGGCCGCAGAGAACCTCTAAAATATTACAATAATACATAAGGGTATTTAAAGATTACCGTTGAGGATTAGTATATTTACTGGTAAAGCAGAATGAAGAGATAACAACTCTCCATAGAACCCTGTAGCGCTCCATCTGTTCACGAGAATGTTGAAAAATCTGTAACTGGGACTTCACTAAAGCCAATGTCATAACTTTAATATTATTCTATCATGTCGTCAACACGCGACGTTTCCTTTCGCCTCTTATCGCAACTGCAAGGTTTTTCGTCATAAGCCTTTAGAAACAAATGTCATAAAATCGGTCTCTCAACTAATGCGATAACAATTCGCATACCAGATAACAGGTGTGCTCATCATAAAATCAGCTCTGATTATCTTCCCGTTGTACACAGACTGTAACACAGTGGGACGGCAAATTGATATCGATAAGGATAAAACTAAGCCACACATCCGTGTCATACAATCATTATGACGTACAAGTTCTATGTTTAGAGGTGTACATAGGCAGTCTTTTTTGTGCCATTGAATAAGATTAACGCCGATATAGTCAATTGCGGTGCCCCAAATTTGAGCGTTAGGAAAGGCTTGTCTATATCTTCCAGGAAAACCTTGAGGACGAATTCGTCCCCTGGATTGACGGGATCGATTGCGGGATAATGGGAGAGAGGTGTTACCAAAACGTGACCCTGTAAACGGTACAGGTAGGGGCGATGAATAGAGGTCCACGAAGAATGGCCACGGCATCGTTTCTGTCCGCCGGTAGCCCAAAGGTCCTCTTTATGCAACGGGATACAGCGATTATACCCTCTGGAAACCGGAAGCGGAGGTTTTTTTATAGTATCGCTGTATCGACAATAACCTTTTCCCGGTTACAGGTGTTCAGCACAGTTATGAATTTATAACTAACGTTTATATTAAACACATACCACCTGCGGTATCGCCATCAACTAAATCGAACTGGAGCGGGAAGCATCTGTAACCGCGGTACCAAGTAATGGCTGGAGGAGATGAGCATGCCTAAATACCGGTAGGGTTACCGACCACCTGGGTTGTCGCTCCCATATCGCAGGAGCGTAGCGTTTTCTAGGAATAGCACGGTGACGGCAGCGGACATATGGTTTGTTGCGCTGGATCGGTTGTAATCGGGTCAATATGATCTGTGGATGCGGTGCTCGTGTCAGTCGGATGCGGTTCAAGGGTACTGGACGTCTCAAAAAGCGGCTCGACTGATGGACAGTTGGTCTGGTCGGTGGCCGATGGTGTAAACTGTAAAGGTACGGAAAGCAGTGGTGCAGGAGGGTGATGGAACTGCAAATCTCATTCTTAACTTTGTGACAGGCAACATTTTTACGTAAAAAGCCGACAACAAGTATGCAGGATTGCGTCGTTTACCTGCTATTTTGGTGTCGATGCTGTCTATATCGATGGATGTCGTGTTACAAGTGTCACCGTAATGCGCGTAGAAGTTGAGAGTAAACTGATCGTCCACTGCGTATTCGGTTTCGACCCTCGGCCACACGTTGGGACCAGGAAACGCTGCGTAATCGTCTGGACTGCCCCAGATCTGCCGGTTTGGGATGAAACCGGGTACCGCGGGATGATGCACTACCAACTCCAGAAAGTAGTCTTTACCGTGGTCACCCGTGAGGATTGGTGCAGTAGACATCTGGTATGATGCATCCATTCGGTCGAAATACAGCTGTTCTTATGGTGGCCGATTTCCTGTTCGGATAGACAGCTTTGACGTAGCATTTAGACTGTGAAAATTGGGCGTATATCTTTTCTCCCGAATCGGAGCCCATTTCGTTTGGAAGGATCTGGAACCGGTACGGATACAGCGAATGCGCCCGGTACCAACCCCGACAAGGGTCCAGAATTGCGTTGGGGCTCGTCTGCTGAACGCTGTTCAGATCGCAGCTCAACGGATTGTCGGAAGGCAAGTCCATGTATAAACAATGCTCCGGATATGGATAATCGCAGTTACTTCTTGCTTGAATAGCTTGCTCGGGTTGCGAAAAGGTCAAAGGACTGCAGTTTATTTCTACAAAATGACACTTCCGGTTGGAAATCCAATTCAAATTTGATTCTGTTGACGCTCCATAAACCACATAGCTATAGCTAGGGCGGAGCCGATGTACACTTCATAACATATATGCAAATTACGACTTAATGAAGGCTAAAATAGGGGCACTATTTTACAACATGCGACAAAACGGAAAACCCCAGAAATGGTTACGAATGCATCCGTGCATATTTCGCGTTCATGAAAAGATCAAAATTTAAAAATTAAACAATAACGCGGTATGGTTCTCGGCATGCTGAGGCGTAAGTCATGCTTGCCATAACGCTGGCATTTTCCTTATGGCATCTAGAAATTAATAGCGGAAACAATTACTGCGGCATATCAGTACGTATGATAAATTGCGGCAACAGTTTTTACGAGGGTCACTCAGAAAGTAATGATAATCGGTATCAGCAAATAATCATATAATTATGAACTAATTTTTTAAAAACTGTAGCATTCATAACTAGATCATAGGGCAATGGCCGTGGCCATACCGCCTACGGCTGGCGACTGGCATGCATCTATGCGCAGTCGAGTCGAGCTGTTCACTGCACTAGTCATTAAACATGGCTAATTTAACGAAGCGCGACTTTCGTGCTATCATCTTAGAAAAATTTTAGAAAAGAAAAGCGCGCGCAGTTGTCATGCTGAGTTGAAAAGTTTGCACCCTGATTCTTCTCCTTCTTATCCTACTGTTGCGCGTTGGTTCCAGCGATTTCGCACTGAGCATTTGACCTCGACGATGGTGCCAGAACTGGAAGACCTCCTACAGCGACCACGGCGAAGAACTCGGACGCAGTGAGAGCTGATCGAACACGATCCCATATTACCGTCAGACAGATAGCAGAAGAACTGCAGATATCGGAGGAACGGTTTGTGGGATAGTCCGCAGTGAGCTTGGTCTGCGCAAGGTTTGTCAGCGATGGGTCCCTCATTTATTAACTCCTGCCCAGATGGAAGTCCGCGTCGAATTGGCCCAGAACATCTTTGACGTTATTTCGACCGAACGCAAATATGACGTGTACAGAGGATGAATCCTGGTTTTCATACTATGATCCCCTAACGAAGCAGCAGAATCAAGTTTGGATCGGAAACGACGACCCCACTAGTGTCAAGCGTTCCAGGAGTACCCGTAAGCTGATGTACGCTTTATTTCCAGCAGGCGTGGCGTTTTTCTGAAATCGGCTCTACGGCGTGGCACAACATTGAATTCACAGTGGTACTGCGCAAATGTTCTTCAGCCTTTCTTTGATAAGTTCAGAAAAAGAGACCCCAAAGCCGCGTAAGGAAGATCATTTATCACCATGATAATGCACGTCCCCATACATCGAATGCCACAATGAATTTTATCTCGGCATCGCGAATGAAAATCCTCCCACATCCACCATACTCGCCTGACCTGGCACCTCACGACTTCAAGATTTTCCCAACGTTGAAGAAATTGTTACGTGGTAAAAAGTTTGAAAATGATGAAGAACTGGAAGAAAATATCAATACAGCGATCTCTAATTTACCACCTAATTTCTTTTCGAAAATGTTTGATGAGTGGCAGACTAGATGTTTGCGTTGCATAGAGATGAAGGGGCAGTATTTTGAGAAAATACGAGGAAAGCGCTGATGCAATAAAAAATCGTGCGATAGTTATCATTACTTTCTGAGTGACCCTCGTAATTATAGTAAGGAGAACTTACGGGTAGTACTGACGAGAAGCAAAGTCATTTGCCATAAAACCTTGTTGTGCGTCATTCTCTACAATGCGGAATAGCATCTCAGTTAACAGATACTTTGCCCCACACTCACCTTACTTCTGGATCATCAGAAATGCTTTCCTAACAACCGAACAGTCGGTAATGATTTCTCGCCGTTTTGATAAGGCGCTACCCTGTCATTCAACGTGTACGGAAGCAAAAGCCGTTAAAGTGAGAAACGCAAAACTGGCGCGTTGTACAGAATTATAAGCAGTCCACCCGTAGATAACACAACCGCACCGCCGCGGCTACCCTTTGTTAGAAAACGACTTGTTATCGTGAGACTAGAGGTTTGAAACCTAGCATTAATTCAAGGTAATACAAACCGGCTTCTCTGACACTGTTCTTGTCGATATCGATAAACACTTTGCGAGAAGCGTCATTGTAATCTTTTTCAGTGTAGGTTATGATAATGTAGGAGAGGGGTTTTGGGGCCGCTCGATGCTGAAATATATTGGCGTCGCACCGAAAAGTTCTGCATTCATTGCTGTACTATTTGTATCTACGCGTTATTGTAATCGTTCAAACACACAACCACATGTAAAAATTATAGTCATTGCGCATAGGCGCATCCGGGACTTACTTACAAATATTTCAGCGTGCATTTACATACAAAGTATGCAAAACCGCGCCCGTTTTCACGGCTTGCGTGTATGTATGTCCGTGTTAACGGGGACGGTGTGCGCAAAACAGACAGGACGCACATTCCTCAATAGGTGACGCTGACATGTTCGATTTATACGTGCTGCTTATTGCCGATATTTATTGAAATTACGGCTTTATTGAGAATTACTTTTTTCTGGCGTCAGAAATATAAAATAAATGCCCTGGCTCGCAACTTAAAAATTTCACCAAGCTGGCCTTATACACCGCACAACAGCAAAACGACAGTTATTTGTCAAATATCTTCCTCTGGGTAGCCAGATAAGCGGGAACCCGCAACCAGATGAAAAAGAATAATCACAAACATGCTCGCTTTCTTGCGTAATCTGAAAGTTTTGGTTGAAAGTATTTCACATACGTCGTAAAATATATAAAAGTTTTCATTTGATGGTCTTGCTTACCATGGATCAGGATGGCTATCCAGTAAATAAAGGCTGGCAAGAACCAAACACTCTGCCCAGTAGGTACTGCTGCATTAACAAGAGCCAGCTGGTTAGCCAGCACGCAGGGTTCCCCGCAAGATAATTGAAGAAACGTCAACAACATTGTTTTGCAGATTTTCCAAGAAAGCGGAAAAGATTTGAAAATTTTTCCAGCTACTTCTTAGCTTATCTGCATAACTTGCTAAAATACTTATCCACAAAATATCTGAGTGGGTAAAGGATAAACAACGTTTGCTCGTAGCACTGATAATAGCCCAGACGCAAACAACTGGGAACCCAGTGAGCAGGCTGCCCTGCATGATCTCCGTCAGGAAATTGTAAAATGAAAAAGCCTTTCATGTGAAAACTCCATTTATATGGACAAATATTTCAAAAAATAGAATAATTAAAAAGAAATACTCGTAATAAAATAAAGGACACAGCAAACAAGTTGTGATTTTTTCTTGATAGACCACTCAAAGTACTGAATTTGTACCACGTGGTTTCGAATTTTGCCATTGGCGGTGGGCAGCCTCGATCTAACTCAGAATGCTGACCCACCAATCAAAACCACAGAAAAGCAAAGGGCAATAGGGCGTCGCTTAGACCCGTTACAAGGTACGCCCATCTGTGTAACGGTTTTCGTCACCGCCCCGCGACAGACTTTGAGCAAAAATTGACTTACATCGAAGCCCAGCCAATCAGGCCGTTTTTTAGCTTCGATGTAGGTATGTAAAGGGTGAAATTCGATGTAAGTATGTCGCGATTCGTGTTGGCGCAATTGGTATATTATTACAAACAAAGATGCTGCTACTTGTCCCAGTTACATTACAACTTATACTGTACTGTTAAAAGTTTTTAACTTTTACAATTTACTGTTGATAATTTTCGGGCCATACAAACACATTTTGAAAACCGTGAACATTTTTGGACATTTTTGCGCTAAATTTCCCAGCGCGTCGATAGTGAGTTTTCCTGTCGACTGCAAGGGTGGCTTCGGAGAATCTAACCGTGGCACCGTACCACGGAATGGGAAAGTGCCACGGAATGGGAAGCTGCTCGCGGCGGCCTGATTCTCCTGGGCATCCTGCCTCCCTCCGGACACATTAGGTTGGTCTTTCTCCATTCTTACTATAACTATGGCTCGCGATCAGCCTCGCCCGCACTGCAAAAAGTGTTTCACGCAGGGAGCTGGATTCGCTGCCCACACGAAGGCTTGTTCGCGCAAGCTCGCTACGGGTTCCTCCTCTACCCAGCCTCCATTACCGCCGCCCGGAGGGACCCAGAAGCACCCTTTACAATCCTTCTTGGAAGGCGACTGATACCACATTCCGAAACGTGTGTCTAAGGCGGTGCGTCGCCAGTGTGCTCAAGTGCTGACCGATTTGATCAGGAACTGCGTGCGCAAGAATTCGTCAGCTACCTGGACCGCACTGCTGTTGTTTGCACCGACCGCTTTATCGCTCCCTCCTACCAAAACTCTTCGCAGAGAATCTCTCACCTCCGTAATTAGGAAGAACCTGGCAGATTTGTCCCTTGCAAACCGCCATTCTCTGCCCCGTCGCGAACAAGCCAGAAATAATATTTCCGCACAGGATAGTCTACGTGCCTCAGTAAATTCTATGTTCCAAGATGCTAACATTAAAGAGCTATTAGGATACTGCTGGAAGATGATAAACTGGCCGAGATTAATGCTGAAACTGCTCAAGTACTACGGGATAAGCACCCGCCAGCACCTGACGACTGCCAGTTCCCTCCAACACCTGATGACTCCTTCTTACCACCACCAGTTTCCCCAGCGGAGGTAATGAACGCTGTTTTCAGTTTTCCCACCGGATCACCGGCAGGAGTTTTCGGCCTTCGCCCGCAGCATTTGAAAGACCTCCTAAATCGCAAGGACGATCAGCAAAGTGATCTATGTCTCGCACTCACTGATCTGACGAATATGATTCTCAGGACAGACATACCTGATGATATACGGCCGTATTTTTTTGGCGCCAGTTTAATTCCACCGGGGAAAAAAGATGGAGGAGTGAGACCAATCGCTGTAGGGGATACGCTACGGATACGATTGACTTCAAAGATTGTCAGCAGCAGGTGCGCCGAAGAAGCAGCCGCTATGTTTTCTCCCGTGCAACTCGGCGTCGGCGTAAGGGGAGGTGCAGAAGCTGCCGCGCATGCTGTTCGGAGTTACGTTGAAACGACACATGCGGACGCGCGCGTTATTGTAAAGCTCGATTTCAGAAACGCCTTCAATACATTGCGTCGGGACGTTTTGTTGACTGCTGTACGTGACAAATTCCCTGCATATTTCCGATACTTCTGGCAGTCCTACCGGCACGCGTCACACGTGAGTTGCGGCAAGTTCATGTTGTCTTCAGAAACTGGTGTACAGCAAGGCGATCCCGCTGGTCCGTTTGGATATGGCCTTGCAACACTTCCACTCTTTGAAGACTTAGAGTGCGACATAGCAGTTGGATACCTTGATGACGTCACCCTAGCTGGTTTCGCGGAAAAAGTTATTGCAGCCATTCGACTGATCATTGCACGCGGTTTAAGAATGGGACTGGAGCTTAATCTCAGCAAATGCGAAGTTTTTAGCGTGGGACAATTCACTGTGGATCGGTTACATGCTGTTCAAATGGTGCTCAATGCATTCCCCGAAATGGCCGTTTCTAAGGAAGGAGAATGCACACTCCTTGGAGCTCTTCTAATAACAGCGGCGTGCGAGACTTTCCTCCGCAGTAAATCCGTGCAGCTGGAGTATTTCATATCGCGACTCAAACTGATACCTGCACATTACAGCTTGTACCTTTTGCGAAATTGTTTACTGATACCGAAACTGCTCTATGGATTCCGCACAAGCAGATGTTATGAGCACATGGCGTTAATTGCATCGCTGGATGACATCGTCCGTGCCGGTTTGCAGTCCATTCTTAACGTCCGCCTGAACGACGCACAGTGGACCCAGATGTCGCTCCCTATCAGGGATGGAGGAATGGGGCTACGGAGTACGACATCGCTAGTTTTCCCTGCCTTTCTGGCATCGGCGTATTCGGTTACTTCCCTAGTCTCGATGATCTACCGCCCTGCAACGGCGACACTTCTCGATCCAATTGTGCTGCGATGGTCCGAAGAAACCAACTGTGAACCCCCTGCTATGGATCAGAGAAAGTTCCAGTCTGCATCGGATCGACCGTTGATTGACCAAGCAGTGTTGTTAATGAGGCAAACGACCACCGACGAAGCGAACAGAGCCGTACTTTTAGCTGTGCTACACCGTGATTCGGGCGCATGGCTAAATGCTTTGCCTGCACCTAATTTGCGCACGTTCTTGCGGGATGAAGAAGTACGTTTTGGCATCGCACTTAGGTTTGGACTTCCAGTTGTAGAAGAGCACGACTGTGTGAACTGCGGAAGCCATGTGGACACAAATGGTCACCACGGCCTATCCTGTTCCAGCAGCCGAGGAAGATGGTCTAGACATGTCGAACTCAACGACGTAACAAAGCGGGCTTTGGAACATGCTGGGTATCCATGTCAAAGCGAGCCACTGGGACTGTCCGGTATAAACAATACGCGGCCAGACGGCATGACTCTCGTCCCTGTACGTGATGGCAAAGCGCTCGTTTGGGACGCTACATGTTGGAACACAGTAGCCTTATCGCACGTGCGGGCAAGCGCGAGTGCATCCGGAAGTGTTGCGCTTTTGGCCGAAGACAGGAAACGTCGTAAGTACGCGTTTGTGGAAGAAATGGGATATCTTCTTTATCCCCTGGCGGTCGAGACCTTTGGAACCTTTGGTCCTGCATTTGCGGAGCTTATTCGTTTCGTTGGCAGAAAGATTCGCGACGCCACAGGGGAGCCCCGTTCTACTGCATTTTTAAAGCAGAGATTTAGCCTGGCTGTTGTAAAAGGAAATGCTGCTGCTGTTTTGGGCACTTTGAGTATGCGTTCTAAAATGACTGATAGCGCTAACGATTTTGGTTGTTTTTTTAATGTTTAAATGTAAATCATTTTGCGTAGTATTCTGCGTATGCACTTTTTGTTGTATTGATGGCTTTTTCCCAATAAAGAAATACCACTTATACTGTACAGTGTACTGACAATTAATATAGTTATTACTGACGCACAATATACGAGTATCTCTTAAACAAACAGAAAAGCAAAATCACAACACAATTGACGGTCTATAATCAACAGTCCACCACAACGCCAACAAGCGGTTTCTTATGAAAATCGTAGCTAAGTCATACAGATTACAGATCGTATGACTTAGCCATGATTTTCAGGCAATGCCGCAATAGCTAAATCATACAGTATTTTCAGGCAACAGAGCAGGCAATAGAGGAAAACAACCGTTGCCGGATTACATGCCCTTGCTTAGCAACGTCAATTGTGATAAAAACCCGGCAAAAATGTTTCGGCATTTTGCATCCACCGATGCTGTCCGGAAGTGTAACGCGGTGGACTGTGTAGTATCCGGATCCGACGCCGAGAACTGCAGTGCTCCTTGGTGACAATTGACCGTCGTGAACAAATTCGGTGGTTGCTGTGGATGCAGTCTGGCAGCTTGTTCCAGGAGCCATGCATGCAAGCTGCGCAAATGTGTCCGACACAGGTACGTGTTGTCACCGGCATACACGGCTTCACTGGCCTCGCTCAGCTCAGGCTGCACTGCGGGCATTGCAACGGAGCCGTTGGCGCAACGAGCGACGACGGCGGGACTGAACTCACAGTGCTGCGCGATGGGCGGGGGCGTAACAGTTGTAAAAGCAGCCGTGTCTATAAAAACCAACAGACTGATTACCCACAATTTACTGTATTATCGCTACTGATGGAAGGTCTACAGAAACGGTATTATATTGCTCGTACCTGTAACAGCGATCTCCGGCACGACGGATGTGCTAGGTTCCTGTATGGCAGACACTGATGGCCTTACAGTGCAGGCAGATGGAGCTGAAACCAATCTCGTTCTTTAGGTATGCAACATTTTTGCCTAAAAACACGACATCAAGTATGCAGAATTGCGCCGTTTACCTGCTATCTTGGTATCGATGCCGTCTATATCGATGGATGTTGTGTTGCAAGTGTTGCCGTGATGCGCGTAGAAGTTGAGAGTAAACTGGTCATCCACTGCGTATTCCATTTGAACTCTTGTCCACATATTGGGACCAGGAAAGGTTGCGTAATCACTTGAGCTACCCCAGATCTGCCAGTTCGGGACGAAACCGGGTGTACTATCCGCGGAATGGTGCACTACCAACTCCAGAAAGTAATCCTTGTCGCGGTTACCCGTGATGATCGGCGCAGCAGACATCCGGTACCAAAACGTTGTTTGCAGTTTGACGCATCCGTTTGGCCGAAAGGCAGCTGACCGCAAGATGGCCGATTTTCTATTCGGGTACACCGAACTGGGAGCAGCTTTGACGTAGCATTTCGACCGCGCGAATTGAGAGTACAGCTTCTCTTCGGGTTCGGCGCCAGTTTCGTCTGGAATGATCTGGAAACTAAATGGATACACCGAATACGCCCGGAACCAAGCGGGACAAGAATCCAGAACTGCGTTGGGATTGGTCTGCAGGACGCTGTCCAGATCACAGCTCAGTGCATTGCCGGAAGGCAAAGAAGTCCATGTGTAACACTCCTCTAAATAGTTGCATTTGTTTCTGGTTTGCCGGTTAAGCTCCTGTTGTGCATGTGCCAAAGGATGGCAGAAAATCCCTACAAAGTAATATTAGTCATGCTTTGTGCGGACGATATTTTAGTGCTACCGACGATGATTGGTTGTTTACTGGGAAAACAGACGACAGAGAAAATAGTTCTCCATAGTATCACGTGACGCTCCATGATGCTTGCATGGGAATGTTAATAAATTGTAGAACTGTTATAGTAAGCGTGGAAATCGCAAGAAATGTCTTTTATCGCGTCAGTGCAAAAGATTTTGTTTTCCCTCTTATCTTAATGTTAAGCTTATTCGTCATAAGTCTGTGGAAACAAACGGTATAAAATCGGCTTCTCATGCGATAACATTATTTTCATACACTAGATGCTCGTAGCAGAAATGCGCATCTTTAATTCAATGATTTTATTATCTTTGCGTTAACACACTGGGACGGAAGGTTGATAAAGTCCAGTCACACATGATACATCTTTGTCTCACAATAATTATTGCCTTTAAAGATAATGCCGCAATTTCCGCATCCAGGTAAAATCAAGCTATATGTGATCTCGTAATTTATTGTCATAATACTGTACATGATAATTTATTGAACCTCAACACGATCTGTTCCGGATTTTGACGCTGTGGTGAATTAGCGTTGACCTTTCTTCCTGCATTTTGTAATGGGCAAAAAAATTAACCCGTTTTCTTAATGTGCGCAGTTTAAATGTTTCTTCTAACTCGTAAAGTTGTACTCGAACTAATTTTTAAGGTTTGTTTCAGTATCAAACCGCTTAATTTTTGGAAGTAATATGATGGTGGGGCTTATTATTATATTAATAAATAGCGGAATGACACCGGGACACTGCACTTTGCTTTATTTATGACTGCAAGCTACTAGCTAAAGGAAGATTTAGTACTAGCAATAAGTCGCTTCCGCAGGCTCCCTGATTCACTGAAAATCTAAGAAACAAACACAGAACCTGCAGAACACAGAATGCCGGAACCACGTCCGAGAATCTTCTGGTCCGGTGTTACCGGGAATTATCGTGCATTGTTAACAAGACATCTATAATCAAGACCCATCATTACAATTAGCGATTACCTTATGGATCAGTGATTCAGTTTGCACTCGCACCGGAAACAAAAAGACGGTCTTCATGTGAATAGCTTTCCCATTGCAACAAATCAAGCTATTACGCTGCACCGCAATGTATTTATTGCAGCGTACAGTACAGGTCATTACAGGACTAAAGAAACGGCTGATTGTTAACAAGGGTAAAGCAAAACAATCTAGAACGAAACAACTCTTTAAAGAAATCAACACCAACAGCCATGAACATGATATCAAACGTAGGTACGACAATTACCACTCTACACCGTCTTTATTTTTTGCTCAGTTTTTGCTTGTAGATATTTCTTAGTCAGTAAAACGAAAACATTAATTGTAATACTGAAAATTTTATTATTCCGATCGCAGGGTGTGGCTGACGCATAATCCTTTTGCTCTTCAGTTGGACGGATCCTACAAAGAGTAGGTGTGTGGCGTCTTGAGTGCTCACAGGAATGCGTATCCCATGTGGCTGACACTGGGAGCCCAACGGCAGTTGCGCTTAACCGGCACTTGAGCGCCGCGTAAGCGCGGTGTACCTTCCAGCTCAGCGGACGTAACTTCTGGGTTTCCAATGAAGCGGTTCGCCGGTTGATAAAGCAGCAGCGGCGCCATTTTGCTGGGATACAGCGCCTATTAAAATGCAGCTGTTAATACAATGTAACAAAAGCGTCTCAACCCAAATTCCATAATCAGCCCTTTACGGGTCTGTTGCGCCTCTAATTCATAAGGTTGGAAAAATATGTAAAGGTCACCAAAACCGGCACTTTCCCGCATTTTCAGTTGAACTGGGCCTACTCTGATTTTATCATCCCAATTCAAACAAATTATCTAAAAAGCGGAATACGAATTTTTATCAAGTCGCTTTTCCTGGTAGCGCTCCGACGGCAAGAAAATCATAGGCAAATATTTCACATAACGTTTAAAGCAATCACAGAACTGCTTATAAAAAACCACTGAGGTGTATGTCTTAAGAAGCGCAAATAGCTGTCTTACCACAGTTTTCCGATGCCGAGTGTGTTGAGCAGAACTTTTCAGCGACGGCAAGACTGCGCTGGAATGTCTTAGCGGGTTACGGAACCATGCCCGCCCTTCGCAACCCCACGCTAAACAACCAAGCAGAATAATCAGCCCGGCGCTGCTTGCGCAAAAGAAGGTGACTAGCGCCATAATTTGCTGAAGAAATGTTTTAGACTTTGGCTTCTACCGCGCGCTGTTTCAGCTAGAAGCCTTAAATTTATCAGCAGATTCCGTAGCGCTAAAATCTGCCAACAATCCAGCCGAGAGTGCCGGATACCAGAGCTTATTAAGTTCAGCTTTCAATCCGATTAATACAAGTGCTGGGCTGTTGAAATAAATGTATCACGTGAACGGGATGAAAGAATCCGGAAGTAGCCGAAGCACCTAATAACCGGAAAGACGTCAGACTACTTTTGTTGAGCGGCTTTCGTTGCCGGTAATTAACCGCCCAGTTTGACGCAACATTCTATAGGCTTATTGAAACAAATAGTGGCCTTCAGACTTCGTGTCCTGCGCATGGTATATGAGACCGGCGATGCATGTAACATACCCGGTCGCTTCGCACGTCACTGTAACAAGGAAATGCGGTCAAGCAAAACGAGAACGCTTTTTACGGAGTATTATTATCCCTGCGCATTGTCTGTTAAGCCGAAATTTGAAATATTCCGTCGCTTATGCATTTTTTCGGCTCCGTCAAGCTGAAAGTACAGTGTAAACAGCAACGCATGGAGTGCTTGTGCGGATGCGCTTCCGATAAAAGTACCAGGCACGGTGATTTGAATTTGGATAAATGTTTCCGCTCACCAAGATGGATGTTTGGTCGTTTGTGCGTACATAAAAAGAGAGAGAGAATGTGGTTAATCGTACAGTCCTTCGTTTTCATGAAAAGTAAGACGTTCCAATTACACACATTATATTTTAAAAAAATATTTAAAATACATATATATTACATTTAAAAACAACGGCTTTTTACTTTTTAAAATCGGGAATAAGCACTACTATTTAGTGTAACAGATTCGAAGCGTATTTTAAATAAAAAAGCGCTACTGAGCAGTGGTTTGCACCTTGACTGCTGAGTAACAGCGGTGCACCGATTCCGGTCACTGATAACGGAGAATTTTGCTTAACGTTTAGTGAGGCGCAAACTGCATACCGTGACCGGTGAATTTCCAACTCACGGGCAAATTCCCGGCAAATGTTCATCACTGATCTCCCCACACTGCAATTCATCAGCCGTTTCATGCTTTTAGAAACACAAATGCAATACACTGATTAAGCAGTTTTCTGAAACAAAGTTGTGCATTGCTGAGTAGCTATAATGAAAGGCACTGGTGGATTACTATCTGCACAACGTCGATTACAAGCGCTTTTTATTGGTATTTTCTTAAAACGATAATATTAATTTTAACTTTGATGCTTAACAACCATGAGTTTTTAACCATAACCTTTTCAGGGCTTATCACTATCCTGTCGTGGTGTGATGCCTCACAAACCCGGCTGCCCCGCGAATTTCTCCAGGTCTTCCGCAGTGGAGCGGATGCGATCGATCACGTGCGCGCAGTACGGAGTGTTTTCGGTAACGGGAACATACTCGAAAAGAATCAATGATGACAACGTTTTAGTCTAGCAGTAGTCAGAGACAATGCAGCCGCTGTTTTGGGTACTCTTAACACACGTCCAAAAACCTCGAAGGACACTAACGATTTTGGATGTTTTTTAATGTTTAAAATTTAATCATTTGAATCAGTGTAAATGTGCGCCCGCGTATTGACACATGTGCTGGCAGATGCCGAATAAAAGTGCTTTTATGATGTTAGTAATATATTTGCTTGTAGATATCCCGGATAATATCATCAGCTCATCCACTGGAAGCAGCTTTGAATTTTTGTCTAAAGATGCCAGTTCCAAGCATCCTTACGAATACTGCCTAACTCTACAAAACGCCGCAAAACCGTTAAATTTTTTCCATCGATGCATTCCGTTTGCACTGAACGCAAAGGTCACTTTGACGAACAGCAATATCAAAGAGGTACGGTGGAAACAACTGGTTTGGTAAGATTACATAGGTCTAGTTTGGGTACAAAACTCCTGGTCACTTCTCTTCACTTGCAGCAGGTGACGTTCACCATGGTCAACACAAGTCTCCATGCTGCCATACAAAGCCATCCGGCTGGCGGTATCACGGAAACCGGCATCGTTTTCACTCCCAAGGAGGAAGGAATGGACGTGGTACGTTACCAGATAATTTTATCAATCTTCGATCTACCGGACGTGCGGTGTTTTGTTGCGCGGAAAAAAGGCCATCAAATTTTGCAGAGCGTCAACGGACAACCGGCACCTTTCTACCAGCTGGCGGTGCGCTGGTATATTCTGGGCGCCTTCCAGATCGATCCAGATGAATGTATTCTGGACAAAATGGACTTGGTCAATCGCAGTACGTCGACGACGACGCGGTACAGTTTTAACACTACAAACCTTTCGGTGCTTTGCAGGTCTCAACGGTGCGTTTTCCTTCTCAAACAAAAGCGTTATGTCGGTAACACAAATGGCGAACCACAAACCCAACCAGTTCGCCATATCGTACGCGTACGGCCCAGCCATACCGTCCGGTGTCCAGCTGGTCGAGCATCACTATGGTGTTTATCTGACTGGCGCTCTGTATACCCTTTCGGGTCTTGTAAGCAATCTAAGGTTAGCTTTTACTGGCTATGAAGTGACAGGTGTATAGCGTGCGAACAGGATTTCAATGCTACAATGGACGAGTCTACACCGCTGTCCACACACATCACCATCGATATGAGGGCGCCAGAAACCACGCCCCCCAAGCAGAGAGTCCTAGAGACCTTTAACTGGCAGTGGAACACCATAACACAGGTGACATAATATACAGCATTCAAAAACCGTTTTCTGTATTATAAGAGTGAAAAAGCGGTTTTATCGTTTGGCAAAAGGCCGTGTAAAATTATAAATTGTACGCGTACAGTCTTAGCCTTACCGTGTTCGAGATTATCTGACATTTTCCACTGCACAGAATATCACCGTCAACAACGAGACAGTGACCTTGGTGTATAAGCGCACTGTGCCCTGGCCGTATCACGGTACATTCGAGGAGATACGGACTAATGTGACCACAGCACCTTCCGGGGCCTTCCGTTTTTTAGATACCGGTATGCAGCAAATATTTAGATTTCTCGTGTAAATCCAACAAACAGTCTAGCTTTAAGAAATCACTAGCGTGGCGACCCCCGGAAACGTCGGAACACTGCCGGAGGCGTAAGTGTTTTTTCTGCAAATTTTTTACCACTGTTTCAACGAGGCAGCTATGCCCATTGCCCTGCCCTCTTTCACACACCTAACACGCATACATAAACCTTCTGTGTCTCCTGAGTCTGCAACTTTGCAGTCTACAGAATTCCGTTTTTGTCTGTCCTGTGTTACACATTCCAGAGCCTCAAGTCTGTCACTTCTTAAGTGTTACAAATTACGTTCCCAAGATATTACACGACATAAATGTATGCCGTATTAAAAGGCATATCCATGTTAAGGCTAGTCTTAACATGGATAATATGCCTTTAATACGACATACATTTATGTCGTGTAATACGTACGTCTTACGTACGAATTTTGCCTTTTCAAGCGCGGGCACACTACTTTACAGTTAAAATTTAAACATTGAAAAAACAACCAAAATCTCTATCTCTTGCCTTTTAGACGTATCACGATACAGCGCTACGCCTAACGAAAAATTACTCCGTCAGCAATGTTCCGTTAATCAGTGGCAATGGTTTCAAAGAAATAATTACTCTACCATCATACATGTCATCGGCTGTAAACGCGGAGATTTGTCTGCTTTTTTTCGGCACGCGTCCATTCCCGTAATTAAATTTTATGTGCCTTGCAATAAATTTATATAAGGGGCGAAAGTAAACGCGTTCCACCGTTCCCCTGTACTGCTGCCGTCACCCGCCTGGAGTGTGACGTTACGGCAATACATGTGGTTAAATCTGGCGCGGTACATAAGCGCCATGTTCAGCCACAACGTCAAAGTCCAGCCGGGTGACGGCAGCAGTACAAGGGAACGGTGGAACACGTTTACTTTTGCCCCCTATATACCGTACTACATACGTAATACAGTTCTCCAACATAGTCAAACTTAATACATGACATAACTGTAAGTAATTGCCGACAGATGCTAAGAACGACACCTGCGCTACTCCACGGCATCTACGAATCTTTAAGCAACCGGCCAGTCGAGATGTTGTAATGACGGAGGAGAGTTGCCGAAACACTTCTCTTCGGATCAGAATCGGCGAGATCGTCGAACAGTCACTGCATTCTGAGAAAGGCATAATCCTGGTACACCGACGAACGCAGTGCATGGTCACGAGCAGTAATGAGTGTGGATGAATTCACTGCAGACTACCGCCGCCATGGGCGTCAACGGGGAGTTGACCTTTACCATGATAGCGCGCAGCCATATGCAAAACGGATCGGACGGCCAACTTTCCCGCAACCGTACCATTCGCATGTCCTTGGATCCATCGACACCATTACCAACGCTGAATGTGGTAAATGTCATACCATTAGCCTAAAATTATGCAGTACAAAAAGTTAGATATTTTTGGGTTTTTCGACCCAGATGTGTGCCGATCACGTGCTGATCGACGGGCAATGGAGAGAACACCAGCATTCCGCGCAGTTTCGACGCGTTGTATCGCCGCTGGTGTTGCGCCGGCTAAGAAACATCAACAGCAGTATGTGAACACGCCAGTCTAAATTCCTTCCACCATACATCTGCCTCATCGTGAAAGCCGAGATATACTTTAATTCCTAAACTGGTAGTTCTTACGTAGGTGTAGCCGAGCCGCCGTTTGTTCAAGAAATCCGGCAGATAGCCGATCAGCAGTTCCAGATGACATATGAAGGGTCTGGAGTGTTACGTGTGCATCGGTTTGCGTTTAACACTCCGACGCGTCAAGATCGGGCCGCGCCTCAGGTTTGTTCAGGAAAATGGCTGCTTCGTGGTACTAAATTCGTGTCTGTTTACCGAAGTTCACTTTCGCGCACTTAGCGACAGTTCTGCACACTGTTTTATTGCATCCTGCAATTCGAATTTATTTTACAAGTTATTACATAGGATCTGGAATTAAATAAGCGAAACCAAATGAATAGTACTTATTGGCACGAAAACCGTTAGTGTTGCACAACAACGCGTTGCTAATAAAAGCGTTTCAAAGTGCGCGAAAGTGAAAATTTCATCATATGAGTACTCGTATTTGTGGATGTTGGTACCATGTGCCGGGCCATTTCTCTCTAGCAGCTTATAATGAGAAAACTGAAGAGACTTGGTGCTGAAAGTAATTGAGACACACAGTGTACTTGCAGCAAATGTCCATGTCCACGTACCTGGAAGTGTACGGCAATCCCATATGGACAGAGTACACTGTGCGTCCGGTCAACGGGTCCTTCGACTTATCCGTGGCCAGACTGGAGAAGGACCGGGTGCAAATCTTTCACCAGGAGGGCGCACAACGGTTTTGGTGTTCCCTTTTCTTATACACGCGTTGCTATGAAGACAGTGGTCTTGTGGTGGAAAGTCACGAAAGTGGCTAACGCATGTAATCCTTCCCCGTACATTAAAAAGTAATTGTGTTATGAATTCTATCATTTTTAACCTCCCCGACTTTCGCTGGTTTCTTAGAAATCCGCAGACGCTCAGCTGCTTTTGTGCAAATAAATTAATTTTTGTGCACACCATTTTTAACATAGAAATGAAGCAAAACAGACGAGAACGATTTTTACAGAGCATTACTCCATTGTCACAGTGCATTTTCTGGCAAGCTTAATTCGTGCTGTTATGTTTAAAGCGCAGTGGGCTGTATCCAGTACATCCGGCTCCGTCAAGCGGAAAAGATAGTACTGTAACTCGGTGTAAATAACTGTTTCTACGTTAATTAGTGCGTTGCCCTTTATTTTATTAGATGATTACAGACACTGCCATCTGGATTTCCGTAGATATATGTGTTTTTCCGCTGATAAAGGGGAGACCTTGCGCTTAAACAAGAATAAATTTAATTAGGCTAAGCGTAAAGACGCTCTATTAGTTGCATGTAGCGTTAAATTGTGGGTTTACAGAGTACTTTTGATCAGAGGGAAAATTATCGATACTGTATGGTGTATCTAGTGATTGAGAACGAAGCTAAAGTGGAAAAAGCCATTGGACGTTGAGCGTTGAACTTTGACTGCAGAAGAATAGCGGTGCAACGATTTCGCTTATTGATAACACAGAATTCTAATTACATTTAGGGAGGTACGCATGCCATACGTGACCGGGTTAACTCCCAACGAACCGGAAAATGCCCACAAAATTCGGAAAATGCGGTTCATGTGCTTATTTAGACATACTGAGCTTGTGCGCAGCCGCTTATTACTCTCAAGCATAAAAATTAGATACGGACATGGTGTTTGCGCGGTTAATCGAAATCGAGTTATACAATCAAGTTATACACCTGGATTATTGGAATGAACGCATTTGCTGATCGCAAGCGGTCTTGGTCGGTATTTTGCTACAACATCCAACTTTGATGCTCCTCCAACACGAGGCACATGTGCACCGTAAACGTCTCCGGTCTTATCGCTGTTTTTTTCGGTGTATGATGCCTCACAAACCCGTGTGCCTGATGATCGCGACCGCGGAAGAATTGATAAAAATGAATTTCTCCAAGTCTTCTGCTGTTGGGAATGTGTGATCCATGCATTATGTGCTTTAACAAAGTGTTTTCGGTAAAGGGACGGCTATTATGGAATGGCCATGTACAAGCCCGTCCGGATGATGAGCACGTAAAGGTGCAGCTAACGCATATTAAGGAGAGTTTATACTATGGTAGCAAGATCGAAAATGAGATTTTCGAAATTCTACAGTGTAATAAGAAGGGTTACATCTATTAGTAGGCGGGAGTTGAGTAGAATTAGGTAGCAACGAAAAAAGTTATTCGTTGCCGACCAGGGCGATTTGGCGGGCTGGCGCATCTTTCTACGCTACTGCCACCTGTGGTCAAAATCAGTGAAAGAAAGATTGCTTCAAGAAGCGCTTCTTTCATTCTGGAAGATGCCTTGTGGTTGTCATATATACCATGCCAGCTTGCAAGTGTGATAGGAGCAGACAAAGCTCATGTTTACACAGTGAGGACGCATAGAGCATGACAAAGGCGCTAGACAATGGAAAGACATAGCGCTGTCCCGTGAGTGCACATGAAAGAGTGGCCAAAGTCCACTCTTCGGTGTGCACACAATGTGGTGTGGCGGCCCTGCAAGCGCAGAATCGGTAAGAGCAAAGGAAAGCGCAGAACAAAAGAGGGTTCTTCGCCACGTTCTGAAAATTTTTCCAAAAATGACTTCTAAACTCAATAACAATTTTCAAAGATGTCAGAAAATTCTGACATTTGATCAGATTTAAGAAAAATTATTTTCAAGAAGAATTGTGGAGCGTTTTCGCAGAAAATGTTTGTATATTCTGTCAAAAATAAAAAAAAGTAACTTTGGGTGTCAAAAAGTTTGTTTTTTTCAAGAATGGTTGTTTTTTTGGAAAAACGCTCCACAGAACTTTAGTCATTTTAGCGGAGCACATCGCTACGTTTGAAAGAAAAATTTCAAAAATCTGCTTGAATTGTTATTACATCCGGAAAATAACGGCTTTTGATCAGTGACTTTTACCTATTAAAATTGTCTAACCAATTTCAGACTTTCAATGTAGTGAAAATATCATAGTGTTAGGTCAGATGTGTAGTTATGAACTTATGATGTAGCACAAGCGCACGCATTGTGCCAGTGAGAATAGTCGAAAGAGGTCGAAATCGGTATAATCTCTTCTTAAGCGCGATGTTAGCGCCTAGCACGATGGCCACTGCACTACGTTTGCCACAATGCGTAAATGCGCTCCGCAGTTAGACTGTCCCTTACTGATATGCGTGTAGCTATGAATCTGGCGTGTAGTTTGGCCTGCGAACTTGCAAAGAAATGCACCCTGTCGAACCACAACCAACATCCACAGCTGCCACTTCACGCTCAACACCCGCTTAATCAAGCGGGGAATCGATCACGAGATATACTAGTAAACAAAAATTATTATCTTTAACAATCTGATGACGTTCTTTTGTGGCGATGGTCATCAGATGGAGTATGGACGAAGATATGGCGGCGGATTACCGGAGCCGCGGTTCGTACAAACGTTTTGTCAGGATCGTATTCAGTCTTGTTAAGCACATCACATTAATCGATCTCACATTAATCATTATTCATCGGTTGGCGTAACGCCGTAAGCGTGTAAACGACTAGGTGGAGCGCCACCACTGAATCAGAAGCAGGATGTAAAGATAAGACTGCTGTTGAGCTGGACGCTCGGCAATCAGAAACGGTTGATTTCCACACATTCTGAAATAGCAGTCGCTCAAAGTTTTTCTTTCTGTGAAATACGCCAATAACAGAGTTCATCATTTAGATCACAGCAAGCCAGCAGAACAAGAAAAATGTACTACCGTTGTCAGTTATTAATAATAATTATTACCATTACACGTATTCCTTGGCAAGTGCCACCGCAGATCGATTACAGAACTCGTACTGCGCTTGTATAACGAATTAAAGGAAATTCTTTCCATTAATTTGATGCGCACTTTGCAGAACCAGAGCAAATTTCAGGCAATGCTAATTGTGAAATGCAATTTGACAAAATTATTGGCTCATGATCAGACCTAATTACAATGAATGCGGGAAAGATGTGACAGCGCCTTGAATGCCGAGCAGAAATCCATTACTGAATAAATCATGCGCTCGTAGTATTTTGATTATTAGCATTTCCAAACAATTAAAGTGCTTATCTTATCAGCGCATGGCGGCGATAGCGAACTGATACCTTTTCCGGCTTTGTATCATAGTCTTACTTCTACGTTTCGCCAGTTTGTTTGATTTCTCAAGACAGTCAGATCGCTAGCAGCGCCGGTGAACTTCGCTTAAAGTTATTACTGTACCTACCATGGCAGCTCAGAACACCATAAAACATTTCTTGCTGATTTCGATCCCAGGATTCGGACACACTATCCCGATGGTGGGACTGGCCCGCAAACTAAGAGCACGTAATCACAAAGTTACCTTCGTTATCTGCAAAGCGGCCGTGGAACATCTTCGCAAGAAGTGCGAGTTAACTCCGGAGGACGAAAAATCCATCCACCTGATTGGACTGGAAGATGGCATCCCCGAGTGTGAATCGGATGATGCTCTCACCGTGACTTCCGTGATGAAGTTCCAGGATCACGGTCTGCCGGCGCTGCAAAAACTCGTCAAAGGGATACCGGTGGCTGGGCAGCCCCCCGCGGATGGCCAAGATCAGTATGGTATCACCGTGCCGGTTAACGCGGTGGTGGCCGATATTTTCGTGGCCGGAGCGATGGTCGGGTGTGTTGAGCGGAAGCTGCCGTACTACTTCCTAAATTGCTCATCCCTTGGACCGTTCCGCAATATGCTTTATGTCACCGAGCGCACACCGGTCATCGAGACAAACCATATGGAACGTTTTGACATAATCCGTCCCGAGTCGGAAGGCCCACAACCGGCAATCGGCCCAACGCAGAAAGAGTTGTCTTTAACCATTAACCAGTTCTTCTCTACGGCGAACGGATTCCTTATTAATTCGTTCCGGGAAATCGAGCAGCGTTTTATTGATGAAATCAAGCAGGATTCCCGTATGAGCAACATGGAGTATTACTGCGTGGGACCGTTTATGCCGGAAGAGAAGGGTGATAAGAATCCCAGCCATGCCGAGTTAGGGAAACAGGTGACGCAGAGACCATAACGACGGAATAAATATCGTAATATCGATCTTACCGTCTGACTCAACGACAGAGTATGAGCTAATAATTTCAATGTAGCATAATCAAAAATATGCATAAGCCACGATCTACGCGAAGCGAGAATCTAATGCATTTCCGACGATAAATTTAATCTTAAAACTTCGATTATTACCAAACTCAGAATGAGAAAACAGAACCTATTAAAAGTATTGCAACCGATAGACTTGTACACGCGCAAGGCGCATCCGGTTAGAAACCAGAAACCCCGAAGTGTTCGAGAGACGTACAAGCGAATAATAAAATTGATTATACGAGTTCGATGTTAATCTACGTACAACTCCGCTGTAAGCTATATTCTCAGGTCACACGTTGGCTGGACCGTCAACCAAACAACTCAGTGGTATACGTGTCGTTTGGCTCGGTGGTCATTCCCAACGAAAGCCGTATCGTGGAGGTCGCTAAGGCCCTGCAGGCGCTGAAAAAGCCCTTCATCTTTTCCATCCGCCAGCATCAGCAATCCATTCTACCGGGTGACGTACGCGTCGGCATCGATACACACTTGGATAATCCGGATGCACCGGGACTGTTTTTACACTGGGCACCGCAAAAACTGATCCTGGCCCACCGAGCCACCGCGGTTTTTATAAGCCATTGCGGATGGAATAGCACGATCGAGAGTTTGTTCCACGGCAAGCCCGTTGTCGGTTGGCCCATCTTTGGGGATCAACTGGAGAACGCATTGTGGGTCGAAGAGCTGGGTGTGGGAGAGTCGCTGATTCGCCGTGAGCACGCTGCTAATGATGAAGAGAAAAAAAATATCAACAGTGAGAAAA